GTAAAATCAACTACATCAATTCTGACTTACATACTCAAGACAACAGGGTGTTAAATTCTTATAAAAAGAAATAAACTTTATCTTCTGACATAATCTCCACCTGTATAATTTTATAACACAAGCTGTTTACAAAGAGCATGTCATGAACAACTATGGGTCAGTCCACACCTTGAAGCTAAGGAGTCACAAGTAACCTTTCATTACAATGAATATTTCGTTAAACTTACTAAATTGTAAGCTATACCTTGTAAGTTTGTATCAAGGATATAGTCACATTCTTACATTCAGAACATGACATATGCTCATTCCTGCTGCATGAACTGGATGCAGTCACTTGCAACTTTTCCTTGAAATTTTAGCTGCTCTGACAGCTTTGGTAACATAATATTTGGCATCTAAGGTAAGGAATAAACCAAAAGTAGGTTGTCCCTGTACCCATGCTAAGTTTATTATATGTATATCAAGGAGCTGTAAATAGCACATTTTTGTTTGAAGGGCTCAAATTGCTTAGTAAATCCATCTGATTGGGAAATGCAAAATTTTCAGACCTCCTGGTTTTTGAACCACATTAACATGGCATATTTGAGGGAGGCAACTTCTGGGGGAAGCTGAGGCTCTGAGAAGATCACTTCTTTAGAGCAGATAAGCTCCAAAAACACTCTGGTTTCAACTTCAAAAGCATTTGGATGCCAAATCTCTGCTCCACAGAAATGCCGATAAGCTTGTCAGGTTATCTTACATACTACTCATAGATTATTAAGTTATCATAGTGTAACGTTTGACAAGAAATTCAATTTAAAAACTGCCATAAAGTGGATTTGTAGTCATTTACATATCTGTGACTATATGTGTAAGTCTGTTGCAGGTGAGTTCTACAGCCACAGATGTATCGGCAATCTAAGCTGCTAGAAAGCGTTTCTTCCAATTTGGCGCCCTCCATGCTCTGAAACTCAACTATCCAAAGGGTAGAACTAATAAGAGTCGCTAACACCATGGGGAAGACAGCAGCTATACACCTCCACATTCTGTCTTTAACCCCAGTACCTATTGGATAGGAGGGTGAATGGGCCCCAGAACTACTCTGGAAATGGCTGAGATCAATCCCTAACCCTACTGGGAGTTAAACCCCAGTCATCAAGCTCATAACTGGTCATTTTGCTGACTGAGCTATCCAAGGTCATACACAGTACCAAAGAACACACTAAAATTAATTATAAGAGTTCCATTACACCAAACACAATTGCAATGCTGATTAAATATACCAGATATACACATATTTGAATAAGAAATATTTAAGTGAATCTACGATGGTCTTAAGTTATAAGTTTCACACTTTTTTAAGAAGGTGTTACAGCAATAATATCATTTCATTTAATACAAATGAGTAACATAATGTTGACTCTTGCAGCACACTGATCATGTAATATCATGATGCTCAGTGCCAGCCGCACTACATAGCATGCAGACTGAAAAACCCTGTTAGGATTGCCAAACAATGGTAAGATACTACGCATCAAGAGTTTATTAAAGTTTCTTAAATGTACAATGTGCTCTCTAACATTTAGTTTTCCAGCACAATATTTGTGGTCATCTAGTCTCCAACAGACTTGTTTTACCTCTCTATCATGCCTTTTCCCAAGACCTCTCTATAATGCCAAATATTTGTTTGTAGAGTTCATTCTAAATAATTGCATCATGTGAAACCCATTATAATCAAAATGCCATAGAAACAACATGAATAATCAAATGTTTGAACTTAACTCTTCAGGCTTCCAGAAACCAATTTTTATCATGTAAGATATGAGGTTTTCACAGCGCTGACTATGAAGAAAGCAGTCTTCTGGGATAAGGTGCCATGTAGATGTTGTGTTAACCGACGTTTCGCCTCCATCTTCAGGGTAGAAGAAAAAAGAAGAAAATCCACAAGCAAAGAACCAGCTTGAGTAAGTGCAAATAGACTAATGTTGAGAACAAACCCAGCTGTATAATAGCAGGAAGAGAAGTGAGAGGGGGGCTACATGGGAAATCAGTAAAGAGGAGAGGGGAAGGGTCTGGGGAGGTGGGACAGCAGGTAACAGGCTAGAGCAGGTATAGAATATTGTGTCGGCAGAGAAAGGCAAGGTTAATGGGAGGGTATTAACCTTAAAGCTTCGGGGTTGCTATGCGTGTTGGGCATGGACTTGCATGGCCTTGTGGATCTGGCATCATGTCCTGGAGGTTTCTTGAGGGAACAGATGAGAGGCTTCCATGACTTGCTGACACAAAACCCCACCTCTCTGTGCATATTGTCGGGATGGAGTTCAATCTCAAAGGCCTCCCTAATAATGCAACCCATATAACAGGTCTGGTGGCAAGAATGGAGGAATTCTAAAGCTGAATGCAGTGTCCATAATCAATGCTGTGTTCAGCCACAGCTGACTTGTCTGGATATTCGAGACAGATGTGCTGCTGATGCTCCTTCAACCTCGTGTCTATGGAACGGCCTGTCTGCCCAATACAGACCTTGCCGCACTCGCATGGGCTACTGTATACACCCAGTGTCCTTAGTCCCTGGCTATCTTTGACTGGCTGGAGGAAACTAGATAATTTACTTGGAGGCAGGCCCACTAAAACATCAGTTAACACAACATTTACATGGCACCATATACCAGAAGACTGTTTTCTTCAATTTTTATTAGATTAACTGCATTGCTCATGATTATGTGATTTACAAAATAACACAACTACTGTGTCTTTTCATCAGTAAATTAAAAATCTCCATCGTCCATTCCCTATAAAACTAATCTATAAACTACATACACCTATTTACAATGCTAACTAAACAGTCAACAGAAATAGAGTTATCTTCATATTCGATCATGTGTTTGTTACAATCACAGAACCTGAACAATATCAACTCTTCTTGCAGCAGTCCCAGTTGTAAGAGGTGACACATGCAATTTCTTGAGGTTCAGGCTGCCAACTGCCATGAAATATGAACAGGTTACACAGTTTTTCCACAATTGTTACTTACTCACAGCTTAACATCCAGCATCATAATTCTACATGGATTCCTTATATCATAATTTGCACATAGGATACTGAATGTACTCCAACATAAAATCAAAATATTGCACAAATGTATACAAATAATAGGATTTATTCTTTTACAGGATCAGCACTTGTATGCTATTAACATTTCTGTAGACTAAAAATGTATTCTCTGAAATTAAATCCTACAAATAGGATTTAGGAAATAAAAAAACATTTTGGTAGTATTCCCGAAATTTCTTAAAATATCGACCAAAAGGAGAAAAAAAAAATTTAGGGACACCTTTGAAAGAATGGAAAGAATGTTTTGTAATATGCATAATAGATCTCAATAGGCCTAATACATGAAAGTACAGAGATGATGATGTAATGAAAATGAAATATAACCTTCTGCACAAGCAGCCTAACTCATTTGTTCAGTACTGACACAACTGCTAATACTGTATGCAGCTTCCTGCTCATTTTGTATCACTTTACAAGTGTACTCAGTCACAAACATTAACACAAAATTTTACCTACAATTAATGGTTTCTGTTATAACTACAACCAAGATGCTTAGAGTACAAGATGTACAAATGTATGAATCACAAGTGTCTGAACACAAAGTAGTAAAGTATGGAAACCTCTCTGTATATCTGGAATTCAGGACACTTTAAAGCAAATTACCTGACTACACAAAATTTTTGCTCAGTGTTTAATAACTTCAGTTACATTATGAGTGATGCTGACTGGCGAAGAAAGAAGTTACTTTTGACTATTTTCAAGGCTATACATCTCCTGATGCATTAATGCTGTCTCATACAGGAACACAAAAACTTTTATGCCGTTGTGAAGTGTCACATAGTACAGGCTTCCCTCTTTGTGGTAACAAGAAACCTTATCTGATTAGGGGTTTATACACCATGTTTTCTTATACATACATCCCCATACATTTCCAGCTGCGGCTGCTTTTCTTCCATTTTGTAGTTACCAAATGTTTTAACATCCTGGCACCAACACGGAAGAGCCTTTGTTTTCGTTTTAGACTAAAACATGCATGTACTTCTATTTTAATGTAAAGTTCTCAATATGCCTCCTGACGGTTACTAAAATTCAAAATATAAATTATTTACTGTCCATCCCTAAGAACTCTTATAATTATTGCATGACAAAGATGGGAGAAAGTGTCAAATTTGAAACTGACAGTGAATTCCCCTTCACACACATATACATAAACCAAGGTAAGGTGAAGTAAAACTGCTTCTGTGCTCAATTAATTAAGCATCATTGCACAAAGATGTATGGGGAGTGAAGGTACAGCTCCACATGTTTTTAATGCAACATTAGATGGAGCTAAACTGTCAGCTTCACACCCTGGTCACTTTATTCTTGGCAAAAAGCTTCCAGAATGCAATGGATAGGAGGCTGGGTGTGCCTCAGAGCTGGTCTGGATACTGTGGAGAACAGTAAAATCTCTTGTCATCCACCAATTGAACAATTATATATACACATACAAAACGTGCCTATGTATGTGTGTGTGTAATCCTACACTGCTGTTCCCTTCCAAGATGATATCATTACTGCCCATGTCCCTCCCCCCCTTCAACCCAATTACTGAGAGAAGAAACCTGTCTTACTATTATGGAATTTGGGGGTCATAAAATTAGTTTTCAAGTGCATTTTATTTTGACTCACAGATGGAGTACATTATAAAGAATCCTCAGTTGTGTGAGATAACAATCTGTGGTTTCACCACCAGTATAGAGCATAGAGGTAGTCTGAATGCAATCATAAAGAGTATCAAGAGTTCAAGAGGAGTCTGTAGTACGATATATGATCTCCACTTTCAGAATGCAAGAAACTCATGTATATAAACTGTACCAAGTTCCATCATGTGGGAGGGTTTATGGGGCAGTTCCATAGTCTAATGCTCCGCGTCCTCTCCCACGCCCTCTCCCCCTGCCTCTGCCCCGCCCCCTCCCCCGCCCCCGTCACCTACGTCCTTCTGGCATTCCTATGTTGCTTGTGGTCTTCTCCAAGAATGCCAAGGGTCCCTGCAGCACTCCACCTGGTCCCTGTGTAGGAAAACCAGGAGCACCCCGTGGACCTGCAGACTGCTGCAAAAACATCGCTTGTTGGGGTGAAACCATTGGACCGGGACCCCCACTACCAGAAGCTACAGAGATTCCTGGTGGACCCTGCAAGCAAATGCATGTCGTTTCAGTGAGAAACCCACATGGGGCTCACTGAAACATCCAAAAACAAATAAAAATTCTAAATAAAAAATAAATAACATTGAAAACTAAAACAAAAGCTACAAAATAAGCTTGTAATATTAACTGAATGTTCAGAATTACTGGAACAAAAAGTTAAAATAAATTCCATTTCTTAAAATCATAGGGTTTTAAAATGACAAATTAATATACAATGAAGTCCATTTGGATTAGCAGCTGGGTCAATGTGGAGTTGGTGTGCGACAGTTTGGAGTTTCTGGAATGCTGCACACCAACTCAACACTGACACAACTGACTGCCCAAGGGGACTTCACTGTACACTGTTGCTGTGAAAGCTTCAAATCATATACAAATTAACATACTTTCAAATGAATAAATAAAACTGAGACACTCTCCACATCGGCTGCGATCACTCTGACTTATATTATCTAATTAAGTCACAACTGAAGTATAAAAAAGTGCTATCAAAACTAATATCATAATTTTGCAGTTCATCAAATTTAACTCATACGTAGTTTCAAAGTTAAAAAAAAAGTTTATCACATTACACTTTGCAAAAAATTAATTTATTGGCATAATTCATCTCTCTGTATCTAGACATGAAAGGCTGAATCAAATATAATTCAATAATTTATTTTTGAATGGTACAGAACAATTATAGCACTGCACGTGCCTTAAGTCAGGAAATTAGACATTGGACTTCACTAGTAGCAAAATTCAGTCTCTGTAGGATCAGTGACAGGCAATGTCAGAATGGAGAACATTCTTCTCAAAGTGCTTCAGCTTCTCAGTCAACACCATTACAATGACACTTCCTGATCATCTAACACAACCAAGGCATGCAGTTAACACCACACGTTCGAAAGTTAACCTTGGCCACGTAATACTGTTAAAATATTTATGCATGGAGACATATGAGGGATAACTACTTACAGTTCTGTTCCTTACAATAAAAACTGAAGTCTTGACTTATAAAGAACATCAAACTAGTAACCAAAATGCGGAATGCATGGCCTAAGTCATTTCAGTCAAAGATCTTAAAATTTTGTGTTAGTTTTATAGGTATGGTTACACTGTATAAAATTAATCTTCACAGCATGTGGTCTATGCTTCTCAATCACTGAGAAACATTTTTAAGCCAAAATTTGAGAGAGTAAAATAAATGCAGCCTACTACTGCAAAATGCTGATTAATTACTAATTAAAGGCAGTGAAGAAACTGAATGTGCTCCTATTTACATAATATGATGAGTGAGTTGTGGAATATTTACTATGCTTAATATATACAAATTACAGGACTTATAACATGAAAACAATTTTTGTAACAGTTCCCATTTTGCTATAACGATGACTTGGGACACACTGGACAAACTTAAATTGTTACAGAGAACAATAAAATAAAGCACAAAAAATTAGAGTGCCATGTAATATGAAATAAACTGAGGGGTGGAACACTTTCATACTGTCCTGTGTTTTCTCCCCAATATGCTACCTGTTGTTGCATCTGTTGCTGCTGAATCTGCTGTTGCATCTGTTGTTGCTGAATCTGTTGCTGAAGTTGCTGTTGCTGCTGCTGTTGAATTTGTTGTTGCTGCAGCTGCTGCTGCTGAAGCTGTTGTTGCATATTGCTAGACATATTGGGTTGTGGGGGTGCACCTGTAGGGGGTGCTGGAGGTTGGGGTCCTGAATTTCCATTAGGTAAGCCTGAGGAAGCAGGTCCTTGGGCTGGAGACTTTGCCCAACCTTGTAGGTCAGCAAACAGATTTTGCCACACTGCTATTTTTTCATAGTGCCTCTTTATTAACTCTTCTTTCCGCACCAATTCCTGTCGAAGCTCATTTGTATCCTGAACGCAGAAAAGCATAATTAAAATGCAGAACAGTATTTCCAGTACTGCTCAGAACATGACATACCAAGAGTAGAAATGGTGACTACTGGAACAGCAGACAATTCTTGTACCAAAAATGGAAGTGGTGGAAGATTACTGTCCCCTTACATTAGGGGTAACAACAAATGTAACTTCTGCGGTATATGTTAATATCTACTCTGCTGTATTATACTTGATTTATACTGTATTTTATACTTGAACTTGATATCACAGTATACTGATTAGCATTCCTTGTATATGGGAGATACAGAGTCTGATTCTCAGATCAGACACTAAGTTACACTAGTTGAGTGTTTTTACTGTTTTCCTCAGTCCTTCCCTGAAAATATCAGGACTGTACCTTAAAAACAGACCATGCCTGCTTCCTTCCACATTTCTTCTAATTCACCGTTCACATGCTATTTCATGCTGTATAGCTAATAACATTAACAAGAATACAGTTGATTAAATCTTAACTTAAACATATTTATCTTACAAGTTTTGAAATGATATGTAGTCATACAAAAAATTTAAGTAAAACAATTCTTATCAGCCCCATTTTCTTATTTAAAAATAATCAAAGATCATTTGCTGTCTGTATGTCTGTGTATCCCCCCAAATTCCTGAAAGCCAATCACTGTTCTATTTATATAATTTCATGAGCAGACTGCAGAGAAAACATTGACTCCAACAGCTGGACGCATCATTCTCTATGCAGTCCTTGTCATATAAAAGGAAAGTAAGTAATTAGGTATTCCAAGAACTTCATTTTAGTTTCATTCTTATATCTTCACTCCTCTCCTGAAGCCTGGAATGTAATTCTTGTCACTGATTTCAGATAACACACTTCAGCATCATTACCATTAACTTCTATGCTAGAACTACAGTACATGAACAAAGAACAGAACTAGGTATGTGCTGTTTATATTGTCTGGCCAACAGACTTTCACTGATGTTATGCTCAATTATACCTACAAGTCATAAGCCCTATAAATGCTGCTCTTTGATGAAACAGTAAAGCACTTATTTTGCACCATACTTCCAATTCAATTCAATTTTATTTCATCCATGAATCATTATACATGCTATGGGACAAGTCAAAGATTAATATTAATACTAATACTAAATAGTAATAAGAATATAATAATACAGAAATAGTATGCCAAATTATAATAAATGAT